AGAGAGAGAGAGAGAGAGAGAGAGAGAGAGAGAGAGAGAGAGAGAGAGAGAGAGAGATTATAGTTCTGACCTTGAGAAAGAGGTGAAACAGATAAAATAATTCATCTCTGAGAAAATAGAAGTACTAAGAAGATTTTGGACAGCCTTTCAAGATTCTATTATTATATTTTTATAAGAATAAAATAACATTCCTGGAATCCTCTACTTCTTGACCTGACCTACCTTGAACAGCTGACAGTAATGGAGCTTTTAAGACTGTCTTTGTTGTTCCTTCCCATTCTTTCAGTGTTATGATTTGACCTGGACCTACCTGCAAAACACATGAGAAGAAATTTCCCCTTAAAATGTGTTTTCCTCTACCCATCATCTCTCTCTACGAATCGTTCTGACTTTACAGACTTCTCATGAAGTTTTGTAAGATATCAGTAAGGCCAGAGATAGAGAGGTATAATGGTTAAAGCATTTGACTTCAAACAGGAACATCAAGGTTCTAGTTGAGCCTCAGACTCAAAAGCTCACAGGGTGAATTGGGTCAGTCACTCTCCCTCAGTACAACTTATGGTAGCTCGGTTGCTGGGTGCTGTTAGGACAAGGGTCTTCAAACTTGGCCCTTTTATGACTTGTGCACTTCAACTCCCAGAATTTTGGCATTTGAAGTCCACAAGTCATAAAAGGGCCAAGTTTGAAGACCCCTGCATTAGGAAAATAAACACGGAAGAATGCACACTGCTTTTTGCTCCTGAATGAAAGATATATTATAAATTAAATAATTCACTGGATTCTATACTGTGTCTTTTACCTTTATTTTTCTTCATTTCAGATATCTGTCATATATCATAATTCCAAGAAAATGATCTTGGTAGTGGATAGGAGACATATAAAAAGTATGGAAAATGAAAAGAAAAGCATGCCATTTAGTGATGTCTATATAGGAGGAGCTCCTACTGAGATTTTAAAATCTAGGTTGGTTTATAATCATTCAAAAGGTTTTTTTTAATTTAAATATTGATGTTCATTTATAAATTAAATAAAGCATATAATGATGTGAATTTAAAATACAGTTATAGAAGGTAGAATTATTTGTGTATCATGTATTATGCTGTAATGGAGGCAAAGCAGATGACAAGTTATTAGAGAGCATCAGTTTAGTGTACTGAATAATATACATTATAGTCACTTCTAGTGTCTTGGGGTGATTTTGGTTTTGATTTTGGAATAAACAGTGCTACAAAAATTGGCAGATGTTTGAGATACCCTTCCAGCGACTGGGCATCCTCCACTACCTTCAATTCCCAGAATTCTGAGTGGTGGCCATGCTGGCTGGAGAATTTTGGCAACTGAGGTCAACCCATTTGGAAGGCATCTAGATTAAGAAAAGATACTTCAGCATCTAGCCAAGTGGGGCCCATTTAATATGTAGTCTATTATACTTTCATTTTATGCAATCACCATTCCTCCAATGGAGACATTATTTCCTGATCTGTTGTATACTACTTGTTTTCAATTTTTGTTCTTTTTTAATCTATACTTGCCAGTGGGGAAAAACATTTCAGATCCTTCAAGAAATTTCAGATCCAGAAATAAATGCATTTGCCAGCTTTGTTTGCATGATATAAAAATGTCCAACTACAGTTTCTCTGGAAGAAGGCAATGCATCATTATAACAGGTGCAGCCATGATTTCCGCATTCATGACAGGGCTCTGCACAAAGTTTGGACACATTGCAAGAAATGATCATGATGTAATGTTGTAAACAGCCAGGGAGTGAAGTTTCCCACCAACAGCAGTAGATAAATTTGTCCATTGTCTAGAATCATTCAGAGCATTATCAAAAGATGATTGTGAAGCAGCAGCACTTTGGCCTTTATTCAGTGATCTGCCACTGCTGGTTCACAACAGTAACATATGGAAATACTTATTACTTCTCTTAATTGCTTTATTGTGAAGTGTTGTCCTGCTCCCTCAATTAATTGGACAGTTGTAGGCATGGTTCGCCTCCAATGAACCATTTCAAGGTTACCTGTATTTCTCAGGCTGAATCTAAAGGAGAAAGAGAATCTGCTCAGATGTTATTCTTTTCCCATCTAACAGTACAGTCTACTGTTTTACTTTGCATTGGAGTTATTTAGAATCCACTAGCCATGACCTTTGACTCTCAACAAACATCTGTCATGCCTTCACAGTGGTGTCAGCTCGCACCTGGCTATCAGTACTCCCTTTAGGGGTTGTATGAAAGGCTTCCAGTTCCAAAAGAAGGACTTCAACTTGTTGGAAGAGCCAGGCACCCTGGGCATTGGTTATGGCTGTCCTGAAGAATCACTTGTAAGTATGGAATTGTGCTTTTAAATTCCTCTGTTTTCTGGGTTGGTTTTCTGTTGTTTTCAAATGCATATAGTCTTATTTCGGGATCCTTTTTTGTGTTCCTTTGTGAATATGTTTGTTTTCTTTCACCAGTTTGTATTATCAGGGAATAAAAAGGTTAACATTTCTGAGAGCAATTTTTTCTCTTAATACAATATTATTCCTTTTAAATAAAATAATGGGAAGTGGTGTATCCTACAGAATGCAGAATACATCTTTGAAAGAAAAGCAGTGTGATAGATTTTATACAGTCAGATGTTTTGACACTTTAATAAATATTTATGTTTTGTCTTCTTTCACTCCACAGATCAGATTTTAACCTAGCTTATTTTCAATATGCGTACTGTACTTCAGGTATAGTCTCTTAACAGTTAACTACAACGGGATGAGAAAAAAATAATTTAGCCTCACCATTTTTTGTGACCAAAAGGCCCACAAGCAATTTAAACAGAAGAAGAATAAGAATATAGGGGTGGTGTAATGTTTCCAAAGTTCTATAATCAAATTCTCACTGTTGTCAGTAGAAGTAGTTTTTACAAATTGGCATTTAAGAATAGTTGACCTAGATTCAGAGATAGATATTAGGATCTTGATGGCACTGAGCTGTACATGGCTCAACCATCCAATCTACCAAGACTTTTTCATTTGAACTTCCTGTAGGTGACATTGACAGTAGGCTAGATAAATATTAATATTTGTAATAATAATACCCCCAGTTATGGCACCAACAGAAATAGTAATAGTACTATTACTATTCATCATAGAGGGGTCATCATAGGCCCCTCCATCTTTCAGAGGGCTAAGGGGTCAACTAGACCAGAGGTCCCCAACCTTTTGGGCACCAGGGACTGATTCCATGGAGAAAGGTTTTTCATGGACCTGAGAGTGCGTGGTTTTGTGTGCTGCCTGCATCCCATGGATGGGGCTTTGCTTGTTTGTGTGGACCGGTTGCTGGCATGCTGGCATGCCGGTTGGGGACCCCTGAGCTAGACTATATTCTTCTTCCTAACTTGTTGTGTGCCATGAGATTGGAAATGGATTTAAGATCCTCCTGAAGCTGTTTGATTTTCCAGTTGAGCTATTATCTCCTTTGGAAGGAGTAAAGAAACATAAGGTGTATGTCCTCAAAATTTGTGTGCCATGAGATTCCAAGTGTATTATCTGAACCTTATTCAATAGGACACATTGAGGCACAATTTCGAAAGCACTATTATTGTAGAAGCTAATTTCTTTCCAGCAGCATTTATGTCTGAGTCCCACTGAAAGGAATAATTATAGAGCAGCAGTGTTTGGTGAACTCTGGAAGAGGTTGTCAAGAGTATCTCTGTTACAGTGTGATAAAGAGTTCACACACACTGTTCTGTGATGATCACATCAACATCAACATCAGAATCACTGGGCATTTTGGAATGTGATAATTGATCTCTTGGATTCTTCCTGCTATTGTTATTTTCACCTTTTGCTCTCTACTCTCCCTATATGTTCGCTTTGTTTACTTGATGAACAGATGTCCCGCAAAGCATATTTTAATGGTGAAAGTTATATCGCATCCAGCCAGAAAATCTCTCCTTTTCATGCATTTGAAGGTGGCTTTAATTTCCGAACTTTACAGCCTAACGGACTGTTGTTTTATTGTGTCGAAGATGTAAGTCTAGGGTTTTTTTTCCACATATTTTAAACGTATTTCTTTAAAATAAATATGTTTTCTTTTTAAAGGAAAAAGGTACTGTTAAAGACATTGTAAGTGCAGAAAATATATTAAGGGATATAATGAATTAAATCCAATAAACTCCAATCCGGTAAATTTAACCCGAGACATCCCTGAGATAAACTGTGACTAATATGATGACTAGGTTTTTCACAGGACCTACTCATAATTAAAACTTTCACTGGGTTGGGGACAAAGAATTTAAACCTCCCTACTGAGAACATAGTGAAATGGGGAATAGTAAAAGATTATGTGCCTTCAAGTCTGTGTTGCCTCTTAGTGACCACATAGGTAGACCTTCTCCAGCACGTAATATTGATATAGATGATGATATAAATGATTTGGGATGATGACAATAATTATGTGTGTGTGGATTCAGACATATATGGATATGTGTGGATATGTGTGTGTGGATTCAGACACATATAGATATGCGCATACATTCAAATTCATCCATATACACATTTACATGTACTATATGATACAAGGTGTTTTCTACAGTGTTTAGGACAATTAGATGATAATCAAACCTTCAATTAATTTAATGTAAAAATGCATCCTTTCATGGCAAAGGATGAGGTTACCTGAGGGACCTCTTTTTCCAATCCCATCAGATCTAGCAGAGAAGGCATGTTACACGTTCTGACACCTAGGAAGCTTCATCAGGTGGGCCCTAGGCAGTGAGCCTTTTCTGCTGTGGCACCCATGATGTGGAACCTTCTCCCCCTTGAAGTGAGGTTGGCCACATCTCTTCTGATCTTCTGAGGGTCCCTTAAAATCTGGTTATGCCAATAGTCCTGGAGCTCCCAGGGGACAGGTGAACTAGTGAGTTGGCCCCATTATTAATCACATCCCTTCATCCACTACTACTTTGTTTCACTGTTTTATAGTCTTTCTAATGGTTTTAATATTAATAATGGTAATTTGGGTATTTATTGACTGTTTAGCTTTGTTGTATATCACCCAGAATAGCTTGTTTAGCAAGATGGGTGAAATTGGATGAATTAAAAACAAAAGTAAAAATGTAAAAAAAATTAAATGCAAAAAAGTCTTCTGTTCCCAGCAATAAGAACATGTTCTTTTCTTCGTTTCAGTCAGAAGTGTTCTCTATTTCCATGGAAAAAGGAAATGTGGTATTAAATGCAAAAGGAGTCAAAGTTCAGACAGCAGACAAATCCTTTAATGATGGAAAGGCCCATTTTGTCATGACAACGATCTCACCTGAAAAGTAAAGTTGTAAAATATGTTTTTTCTAACACACATCTAATCATACATAGATATCATTACTCTGCATTTGTTGGACTATCAATTGCAACTTTATTATCAGAATAAGATCTTTGTTAAGAAAATTAGGGAAGAAGAACTTTTGTGCTCAACCTTTACCAATACTTGTTGGACACTTGATCTTCATACAAGAATATTATTATCCTTTCTTTAGCACTCAATAAGCACTCCTGGTGTACAAGTATAGGAGTAAAGGCTGCCAGTATCATTAGACCCAAACTAAATGTCTGTAGCAATCCTGCCATGACACACATAACATTTATGTCAGACATGTCAAACTCGCGAAGTCACATGACGTCGCGCAACGTATCGGAGCTTTTTTGCCATTGCTGGCAATGGGGTAGGCGTGGTTTCCCGATGACACGCCCGACCCACGGACCAGCAGTTTGACACCCCTGATTTATGTGGATCTGCAACCATGGGCAAAATTGAAAATTTGAACTTTAGGGGAACACGTTGGGACAAGGCAGAGGTTTCCTTCATGCACCAGTCCTACATCTCTGGAAAATTAAAGTTATTAATTTTGAATTCCTGCACCTTTTTATCAAAAATGTTTCTAAGGCATCTTGGCTAAAACCTATTAAACTAATAAATTATATATTACCAGAAGCAGGTCAAAGCAGAGAAACAGATTAGGGAACTGCAGCTTTCAGAACACTCTTCCTATGTGGATGCTGCCACCTAGTGAGTCATTCATCAAATTCAACATTCAAGAAATAACCCCTAGCAATGGGACATTTTCTCATTTGTCAGACAAGTTCCTTTAAAGATTTCCTCATGAGATCTATGTTCTCTGCAGGTTTGAACTTTTGGTAGATGAAACAAGACAAAGCAAAAATAATCCAGCAAAGGATACAACTGAGAGAAAGCCTGTAAGCACCAAGAAATTCTACTTTGGGGGTTCACCCCTCAGTACACAATTAGCAAACTTTACTGGCTGCATAAGCAACGCCTATTTCACAAGGTGAGTACATTTTGACTTCTTTGGGTCCTTTCCTTCAGCCATGATATTGCTGCCTGAAGGGGGAAGGGGGTTACTTCCTTTTTTAAATTAATGTTTTTCTGTTCTGTACTGTAAGTGATTATTAGTTTTTCTTTTAAAGGAAAGTTTTTCCTTTATTGGAAAAAAAACCAATGAACTCACTGAGGTAATAGCTTAATTTATTAGAAGCGCCCCAAAGGTCATATAACAATAAACAGATTTTGAGTTCTTCAAAATCCTTCATTAAGAGAGTTTTATAAAACATCATGGGGGAGGAGAGGAGAAACGGATAGTTTCTAATATATATTTAGTCAAAGCCTTAAGATATAAAAAAAAATATAACTTTACCTAGAAGTAAACCTATTAAAAATAATTGGTTGCCCCTCTGATTTATGTGTGAACAGAATTAGGCTTTATCAGTATTAAGCAGCTTTTACGTTGCACTTTGGACAAATGAGAATACGAAACAAATTATGGCTGTCTGACTATCTATTTATCTAGCTGCAGTTTTCCAGCTTTGCTCCAAGGCTTATGCAAACAAAATATATGTTTCTTGTCACTAAAAATTAGTCATCATGAAAACCACAGCAGATTTAATTCATTATGAAATATGAGATTAATTTTAAGGAAAAATGCTAAGTTTAAGCCAAATAGGCTGTCATCACTTCAACTTACATTTTAGATAAGCAAAATTTCTAAAAACACGAGAAAAACACAGCTGGATCACACCGAAACCCATTTATCCAAAATGCTGTGTCACCTAGTGGTCATCTGAAAATAAAATGTTATGGACAGGAGGACAGTAGCCTATTTCTCCTTGCAAAACCTGAATGTTTCACTGAATGTGTTTTAACTGCTCTATTTAAAAAAGGCCCTTTAGTTACAACAGAACAGAATCTGGGACCTCTCTGAGAGTTATCACTGCCTATGACAGTGGTTCTCAACCTGTGGGTCGGGACCCCATTTGGGGTCGATCAATCATTTCACGGGAGTCGCCAAGCAAGGCTGTCCGCCATTTTTTTTGTCCACCATTTTTTTCCCCTTTTCCGGTGGGTGCCTTACCTCCCTTGGACTGGGCCAGCTGGTGGTCGGCCTGCTCCGTCTCTGCCACTTGCCAGCTACGCCTCGGCCGGCACAGGGGGCGGAACCATGCATGTGTGGCGCTCCCGGGCAGGGAAAGTCCTCGACTTACGACAGGTTGGGTAGTCCTCGACTTACGACCGGTTTAGTCCTCGACTTACGACCAGTTTAGTCCTCAACTTACGACCGGTTGGGGTCGCGGCATTAAAGAGGTTGAGAACCACTGGCCTATGAGCTAATGCACTCTTATCAATGATAGATACTGCCAAAGTGTAAATATCCACTCAGTTGACAACACAAGAAATATTTTTCTGATGACAGTAGAAGATTTATCAGTCTCAATATGTCTGCGAAGTCAAAATTGGTTTAATAATAACCTTCTCTTTTAAATAGATTAGATCGAGATATTGAGGTGGAAGACTTCCAACGGTATCCTGAGAAAGTTCATGCCTCTCTTTATGGATGTCCAGTGGAATCTCCTCCAGTTGCCCTTTTTCATAAAAAAAGAAAAAATTCCTCCAAAGCCAAGGAAAGCCACAGCAAAAGGGTGAGTGAGCGTCCACATCTTACAGCTTTCTAGACAGGAACTAATGCTAACCAATAGCAGACTTCTTTGGGCCAGTTGTGCAGATTCTAAACCTTTTTTAATTGAAATGCACTTCAGGGTAAATTTATCTTGTTTAAAAGTTATAATTTTTAACAAATGGCCCAGTATTAAAAAGGAAAAAGAACTGCAGTAAACTGCAGTCTTACTAATATAGTCCACATTACTTTGATTTAATACATTTCCCATATACTTTACTTCATTATTAATGGCATTCACAATCCTGCTTTTACCTATGAACAAGTATTTAAAAAGTATATAAATATCATTTTTAATGAATTTATCAAGTACTTAAGGCTAGGCACTTGGGGAAGTAATTATGGACTCCATTTTACCTACTGTTGGGTTGCTTGTTGGTGAATTTCTAGGTATGTTTATGCTGGGAAGCCCAAGATCAGCAGCTTATGCTCTGCTCTGAGCTGCATGATCTGGCAAGGAAGCAAAGACTGGAGCAGTTGGCAGCATTCAAAGCCAATGTCCAACTGTCTCTCCCCCAGGGATTCTGTGGGGATTAATCTTCTAGAGGGCTTTTCTCCAAAGTCAACCCATTTTCAAACTTGGTCTCTTTTTTTTTTGCCAGCTTCTACCACCACACCACATTTAGCCCTATTATTTTCAGTTGTGGGGAGCTTATCAGCAGATTATCCTGCTGATGGAGAGCCAGAGTTCTGAATCTTTTTCCAATATTCCATCAGGTTGGAGCAAATAAAATAAAGATGGTGGTAATTGAAAAAACTTCACCTATCAAAGATTAAATGTGGCCCGTTTGAGGAGTTCTTAAATTATACCTTTGCTCTGTTTTAGCAACTGCCTATGCAGTTTTGATATTACTCACAGCTAATTCACCCAAATAGCATGACAGTGGAGATAAGATCTCGGCCACATGTATTGAAAAAGAACATATAGAAATGTATGCAGAATGAAAACTGCCTGTCTAGCAGCAGTTTACTGATTACATTTGTTTGTTTGTTTGTTTGTTTGTTTGTTTGTTTGTTTGTTTGTTTGTTTGTTTGTTTGTTTGTTTATTTAGGCTGAAAAAAATAAAAAAGGAACATCCCCTTTCTCATCTACTATAAATAAAAGAGAACAAGAACTGAGAAATCAGAGGGACCCACACTGCCACTTCTCCGATAATCCGAAAGCAACTGAACAGGCCTATCTCTTTGGTGGGACAGCAAATAGCCGGCAAGAGTTTGATTACTTACCAGAGGATTTCTATGAAAGGTACAGTAATCACAATGTAATGTACTTATAAAATATGAAATAATTATTCATATATTTGCAAATTATTAAGTTAATTTATGTTGCCTGACTCCAAAACAATTCTGGATAGCTCACGATGTAAACAATACAAAATACAATATAACATATAAAAGATTAGTATCCTCCTATCTATCTATCTATCTATCTATCTATCTATCTATCTATCTATCTATCTATCTATCTATCTATCTATCTATCTATCTATCAACATACATACACATATATATATACATAAACACACATAGATACATCATCATTTTAGCCATTGTCTGTTCACTGCAGGATGAAGGCCTCTTGCATGCATACATACATATATACAAGATCGTTTCTAACAAGGAGACCACATCCACCCCACTGCAAAGTCAGATATTCAAGGCTTTCTGGAATACCATCATAATGGGGGCCACACAAATTTGTGAAAGATGTCATTCTAGAGCAGAGGTCCCCAATCATTTGGGCACCAGGGACCGGTTCAGTGAGAAAGATTTTTCCACGGTCTGGAGAGTGCATGGTTTTGTGTGCTGCCTGCATCCCATGGATGGAGCTTTGCTTGTTTGTGCAGACTGGTTGCTGGCATGCTGCAGCCCAGTACTGGACCATGGACCGGGGGTTGGGGACCCCGGTTCTAGAGGACTAGTGTTGCAACATAAAAGGCACAGTACCTGGGTCCTGACAGAGAGTGTTATATAATTAAAGGGACCCAGAGCATGCCGACTTTGTCAGCATTTACGAGATGAGCAAAAACAGTGGAAGATACCCTGGTCCCTGCAGTAACCAGGCCCTATGCTACATAGGGCTTTATACGCAATAATCAGTACCTTGAATTGCTCTCAGAAGCACACTGGCAACCAATGCAGCTCACAAATCAGTGGTCCAATATGGGCATGCCAAGACATGCCCATCACTCCCCACTCCACAGTTTCCAAGTGGTCTTCAGGGATAAATCCATATAAAACATAGAGCAGTAGTAAAATCATAAGGTGCCAAGGACATGACTGACTATATGAAGGTCTCCTGGTGCAAAGGGACAACTGATGCAAATAAGGAATCCGTGTAAAGGTCTACTTGGCAACTGCTGCCACCTGCTCTTTAAGCAGCCGCTGTGAATCCAACACACCCTCAGATTACACACCAATGTTGAATGGGGAAGATGCATGGAGGAAGGGTTATAGCCATCCCCACTCAGTCTTGGTAGGATTGAGTAGAACTGGTTTCACCCCATACAGACCCACAGAGCAAACAGGCATAGGAAAAAGATCTCCACAGCATCACTTGGCTGACTCAGGTCAAGAATATATAGATAATCCTCAACTTATGACCATTCATTTAGCAACTATTTGAAGCTACAACAGCACTGAAATAAGTGACTTGTGACTGGTCATCACACTTGGCCACTTGGCATCTGGCATGTATTTACAATGATTGCAACATCCCAGGATCACCATTTGTAACCTTTCCAGGGGGCTTTCAACAAGTGAAGTCCATGGGGGAAGCCAGATTCACTTAATGACCATGTAATTCACTTAATTGTGATGATTCTTTTAATTAGAGCAAAAATGTTATAAAATTGGGCATGACTCATTTAATGACTTAATGACGCGTAGCAACAGAAGCTCCAGTCCCCACTGTGGTCACATTTCGAGGATTATCTGAAACTGGATATATCAGTTATCACAAATAAAAGCTCTGCTTATTGTTGACATTACAAACTGTTTTCTGGAGGCTGCATTTCATTTCTTCTTCAGCTTGGGAGTGGAAATCAATATCTCTTTCATAGAAAAATGCCATTTTTGTTTACCAGATCTCAGTTCTCCATTAGTCTAAAGACTCATTCATCCCATGGAATGATTTTCTACATTGCTGATCAAGCAGAGGAACATTTCATGGCCCTCTTTATTGCCCATGGACGACTTATTTATATGTTCAATAGAGATCACCAGAAATTAAGAATTCGAACCCAAGAGAAGTACAATGATGGCCGGTGGCATAATGTAAGTTGAAATTGAATGATGCAGGTAGTATCTTTATAAGCTTGCAAAAAGTGCTGTTTATCCCAAAATAAGTATGTTTATAAATTGGTAGTTAATTGGAGTTTCAATGCAATAAAACATTGCACCTTCCAAAGATCAGGAATAAAACAGGCCATCTTCCATATGCAGTTTCTCTATCAAAATGTTATGGAGAAAAATAATTAACTTTATCCAAACCCTTTTATATACTTCTGGAGAAAGTATTTCAATTTTTGTCATATCTTTATCTTTTAAAATATTGAAAAGTACACCAGTAGTATTGCAACAATAAAGATAAAAATAAGGAATAAACCCCAACAAAAGCTAGAGTAACAACTCACAATGAAAATACAACCCAATATAAACCTGTGTCTATGCTGCGTATCTGTTCAGAAATAAGTGTCTTACACACTGCACTGAGAGAACCAGCTTACTATTTTTATTACCCTTTTACTAAATGGCAAATGTTTCCTTTTCACACTAAATTAAAAAAAAACAATGGAAATACTAGGAAAATCTCAACAGCCTTTTCTATTTAAATTGAAAAAAGTGTGCGGGATAGAAGAATAGATTGTAAAAGTGAGCAGGACAGAAGACTAGCTCTCACAATATTCTCTGAGCAAATTACAATGGCATATTTTCCATTATCCTTAACATAAACGTGTTGTTGTGGTTGTTTTAAAAAAGGTAATGTTTGTTCGAGAGAAGAATATTGGTCGTTTGATTATTGATGGCCTCAGAGTACTAGAAGACAGTCTTCCTTACTCCGATAATACATGGCCAGTTACTACTCCTTTCTACATAGGGGGTGTGGCACCAGGAAAAGCTGCTAAAAATATCCAGGTAAATACATTTTTCTATAATAAATGTATCTCTTTGTGCATGTATTTGTGAGACAGTTAATAGAATCATAGTTGGAAGGAGGCATAGAGATCATCTACCTCAACAATCCCTCATTAGTTCAGGTCACAAGAGATAAACATCCGGCCTGTTTGAAACCCAGTAAATAACTCACCGCCATGCATGTGGCAGCCTGTTCCACTGGTTGAAACTTGTATAGTCAGAAAGTTCTTCCTATCCTGAACTTCCTTCGTCATAGTTTTAACTTTTGATTCTGCTCTAATACAGAGACTCCTTAACTTACAATCACATTTGGGACCAGAATTTCCATTGCTAAGCAAGGCAGTTGTTAAGTGAGTTACACCTGATTTTACAAGCTTTTTGCCAGTTGTTAAATGAATCATTGCAGTTAAGTGAACAATGCAATCATTAAGAAAATCCAGCTTTCACCATTGACTTTGCTTGTCAGACATCATCTGCGAAGGTTGCACATGATGATCTTATGACTGTAGGATGCTACAGGAATCACAAATACATGATGGTTGCCAAGTGCCTGAATTTTGATCATGTGACTGTGGGGATGTTGCAATGGTTGTAAGTGTGTGGACTGATCACAAGTAACATTTTTCAGTACCATTGTAACTTCAAACAGTCACTAAACAAACGGTTGCAAGTCAAGGATTACCCGTAGAACAGTGTTTCTCAACCTTTTTAATTTTAAGATGTGTGAACTTCAACTTTCAGAATTTTCCAGCCAGCATGTTAGGTGGGGATTTCTGGGAGTTGAAGTCCACATATCTTAAAGTTGACACAGTTAAGAAATACTGTAAATGAGAATCTGTTGATTAGCCTGCTATTACTAAGCCTTCTTCACAGATACCTTGCTTCTGTCTTGGCTTCCTTTATTTTTTAGAAACACATGGCTATATAAAATGTTTTTAAAAATGAAAGCTTTTATCTGTTTCAATTCTGTTTGTTTCCCTAGATTAACTCTGTGTACAGTTTTAGTGGTTGTCTTGGCAGTCTACAGCTCAACGGAAAGCCAGTCACTTCTCCTTCACAGACCTTCAGTGTAACACCTTGTTTTGAAGGACCATCAGAAGAAGGAACCTATTTTTCATCAGAAGGGGGCTACATTATACTTGGTAGGGAGTTGTTTTTGTGGTGTTAGTGGTGGTTATTAAACCTTTAGATTAATGCCTATGGTTACTGATGCAAAGAGATGGGGAAATATATACTTAGAGTTAGCCAATTAGTTATTTTTAAATTATTCAGGGTGTTCTGTTATATTCCTGGCATAGAGTAGACTAATTTTCCAAACAACTTTGCATTACATCAAAGGCAGAAATTCTCTTATAGTATAAACAGTATTTTCTTTCTGCTGGTTTCCTGATCTAGATATAAGTTATTAAAACCTAATGCTCTCCATATGTACTGTATAAAAACAATTAAACCCCAGAATGCCAATTAAAATATTGGCTGGAATTCTGGGTTATAGTCCCAGTATTTGGGAGGACAGCATTACGTTAGAGGAGAAATTAACACAATACTATAATTTTACCTTAGCTCAAGTAGAGGAGATGCAAATTATCACTAAACGTTATTAGGTATACAGTGGGTTGTTGGATAAAACCATATCAAGACTATGAGAATTATATTGGGCATTGCCGCATTAACACAAGTTAATCATCAGCAGATTTCAAGTTGAGAATCTGCTAACTATATGAAAGCAAGAAGTATACAGCATATCTAAAAGAAGCTACCTGAAATAAGAAATTTAGCGTACAGTATTATTGCTTAGAGCCACTGAAATTTAAAAAACACTTTCAAATTTTCAGAGTTAAAAGAGAGGAACAGATCTTTGGTTATTGCTTCATATTCTACAGTGTGTGAGTAAGTTCACAGTTCACTTTAAATAAAACATTTTGTGACTTTTCCTTGCAGATGAATCATTTAGCTTGGGCCTGAAATTTGAAGTTGTTTTTGAAGTCCGCCCTCGGAGCAGTTCTGGAATACTAATGCATGCACATAATGTAAATGGAGAGTTCCTGAACATACATATGAAACAGGGACAGGTATGAGAAAAGACCAACCACTCCTCCCCTATTTTTATAGTATATTCTGATCTTTCAAAACCAGGGGCTCCACTTTTTTTGTCAAGCACCCGGTGCTCCTTGTTTTTAATATCAGCAAGTTCCAATTTCTGAAGTAATATTATTTATCAAGTGATATTATTTTTACAGCATGTTCCAAAAATATCTCTGCTCGATTGAAACATGTGTGGACAGCTGAGGGTTTTTAAAACTAAGTGGAACTAAGGGGGGGAACCCATAGAGTCCCCAAGAGCAAATAAATAAATCTTTTTACAATAAATAGAAGCTTAGGGAAATGCCCCTTTTAAAGATTTTATAACGTAATGTATTAGTGCTCATTGATTCTGAGAATCAGCAAGCTGCCTATTGCACTTAAAAATAAATGTTGCAAATATCTGATGTGAAAGCTATAGTAGTGCACTTAATATTAGCTTAATAGAGCACATTTACACTTCATTTTTACCTGTTCCTGACCTGCCCTACTGTTATCTTAACTCTAATCAGTCTTTGGGGGTAAAAACCTGTCTGGATTAAGAAACTATCCCCTTTCTATTGGGCTCCGTTTAATAAGTCCATCATTTTGCAGTAATTTGAAACAGATATTTTACCATCCAGCCCACCCCATCTCCCAAAGACAATGATGTCCACTTCTATCTTCCAGAAACTGTTGGCAGGCAGTACTCACAACAGGGCAAGTTAGCGGTGCAGATGGGTTGAGCATAGCATGCAGTTTCCCCAAAGCTGCTTTTCACTTATGAGGGAGGAGTCAAAAGGAGCAAACTGGAAGATACAGAGAAATGTATTGGGTGTAGTGTAGTGCCCAGAAGACCTTTGCAATGTAATCCTGAATGAAGCTAGAGAGAAATAAAATAGCGGGTCTAATGTTTTTGCCAGCAAGGCATAGTTCCACTTTTCCAACCTCAACCTTTCCAGATATAGCACAACTACAAATCCAAAAAATTCCCTAATTGGGGTAGCTCTGGAAATTCTAATCATAACTCACTTGGAAGATGCAATTTTGAAATGATCCAGGGTGTGGATGGTTAGGTTGCTGGACTTTTCAACCTATCTTGTTTATATAACATTTTCTTCCATTTCATCTCATGTTTATTAATTAACCCTATCTGTTGTGTACATTTTACCTTGAATAATTTCAAACAGTTTGATGGTTAAATGTATAATCTCTAATAAGCACATTTTAAAGCTTTTTCTTATTTTTTTCCTTATTAACAATTTACATTAGAACAAATAATGCCTAGGAAAATATATATTTAATTCAAATTGCTCAATCAATTTTTTTTATCTTCCAAATAATTGTACTGTATAACATAACATCAGCATATATAACATATCAAATAAGCATATATTATATGCTCTATAACAGCGGCTCACAACCTTTTCTATACCCTGCATCCCTAGAACGCTTCTGATATATTCTTGCACCCCTTACAAAAGTTCAAAATAACGGCAATGAATTATACATATACACTATAATTTTGAAAACCCAAGTTTTTGCACCCCCTGGAATATCGTCTCGTACCCCCAGGGGGTGCGAACACCCGATTGGGAACGCCTGCTCTATAACATACCATTCAAGTATTGACAACATAATCATAATCCTACCTATCCAACAATAAATAATTGAATCTGATAGGCCCTTCTCCGTACTCAAATTGCATGTATAATTTGCACCATAAGAGTAAGAAATAAACCAGCCTTCCTTATCTGAGCACCAAAGCACATATTACATTTCTAGTATAAGCCTTGAGGGTGGTGAAAAACATTTTGTTTTAATTTTTTTAAGAATATGTCAGCTAATATTAAGATTCTAAAGTTGAACTTCATCACTTCACCAGGTTATTGTGAAACTAAACAATGGCATTAAAGATTTCTCAACTTCGGTTACACCAAAGCAAAGTCTCTGTGATGGCAGATGGCACAGAATTGCAGGTGAGTTAACACCACAAGCTTTTGTAATCAAGGTGATTGTGGACTATTTCTTTAGTTCAATCCATCTAAGACAGGGGTCCCCAACCCGCGGTCCGTGGACCGGTACCGGGCCACAGCATGCCAGTGACCGGTCCGCACAAACAAGCCCCATTCGCAAGATGCAGGCAGCACACAAAACCACGCCCCCTCCAGTCCGCGGAAACACCTCTCTCCACATAACTGATCCCTGGTGCCCAAAAGGTTGGGGACCTCTGATCTAAGATATTGAAGAAGCCTTAGTCAGGGCTTCGTAGACAAGTAGGTACAGTATTTTCAAAACTTTTTTTAATCTGGTGGCTTGGGATATGAAAATTTATTATCCTCTTCTGTTTTGCATAATAGTTATTAGAGACGCTAATGTGGTACAACTAGATGTTGATTCAGAAGTGAATCATGTAGTGGGACCATTAAACCCAAGAGCAATTGATCACAGAGAGCCCGTATTTGTTGGAGGAACACCAGGTAAGATTAATTATTATCACTTTATTTTTAAAAGTTAAGACAACGAACTGTTTAATATGTTCGTTTGAATTTATTAGCCATCCAATTCCAAAGAACTCTTTAAAGTGAAAAATATTCTATAAAAGTGTTCTTCATTCATATTGACTTTCAAAACAGTGCACAAAATTATTGCTTTATTTTAAGGCTATATAATTACCAACAGAAAACATGGGGATTATTGAGAACTTGGTATTTAATGCAGCTTTTCTTTCATAAAGCAGGGTACTTTGTAAACATGTACTGTAAGAACATTTATTTCTTATGTCCAAAAAGACTGATGCTATTAGGGATGTTAGCTATTTAGTGCTCTAGTCATTTAAAATCTTTATGATTTTTAGATTTTGAATTATCTTTATGATTAATTTCCCACATGTACTGAATGCATGTAAAGATAGGTCTATGTGCCTTGAATGTCTATTAATACCACTAAATAATTAAATACGCTAATATAATCTTTGGCATAATTCATCACAAGGGAAAATCAGAAGCCAAAGATTTTATAAACAATAAAACCCGCAAATCTGCTGCCTTCCAAATCTGCTACAAGCCGTGGTGGCACAGTGATTAGAATATAGTACTGAATTGCAGGCTAGTTCTGCCTACTGCCAGGAGTTCAATCCTGACTGGGTCAAGGTTGACTCAGCCTTTCATCCTTCCAACGTCGGTAAAATGAGGACCCAGATTGTTATGGGTAAGATGCTGACTCTGTAAAGGATGCTTTAAAGCAGTATGAAGCAGTATATAAGTCTAAGTGCTATAAGTGCTAAGTGCTATTTTAAAAGCCTTTCAATGATTTTCAGGCCAACAGATAGTATCTACTAATCAGTGTGTATGTGTGTGTTTGTGTGTGTGTGTTTGTGTGTGCATGCGCACACGCATGTGTATGTGTTCCTTGGAACCAATTGTGACTCCAGGTAATTGCCTGAGCAAGTGCCTGCAATTTTCTTGGCAAGATTTCAGAAGTGGCTTGCCATTCTGATATTAAACTGTTAACTTGAATCAAACTTCCAAATCAAAGGCTCACACAGCTCTAGCATCAATTTTCAGCACATTTCCTCCCACCCCGACTCTGGAAAAATGAGCATATTTACAAAACATTTGGTTCCAGGCATTCACTCTTTCTGTTTCCCAAGAATGCCTATAGAATCAATGGGTTTGAAAATACAGATAGTGTTCGACTTACGACCTCAATTTATGTTGCTAAGCAAAACAGTTAAATGAATTTTGCCTCATTTTATGACCTTTCTTGCCACAGTGGTTAAGCCAATCACCACAGCTGTTAAATTAGCAACACGGTTGTTAAATGAATCTGGCATCCCATTGTCAGAACGTCGCAAAAGATGATCACATGACTCGAGGACACTGCAACTGTCATAAATACATAACAGTTGTCAAGTGTACGAATTCTGATCATGTGACCACAGGGAGCTGCAACAGTCGTAAGCGTGAAAATAATCATGCCGCTTTTTTTAGTGCCTCGGTAACTTCAAGTGGTCATTAAACAAATGGTTATTAAGTCAAGGACTACCTGTAGAGCTGATTTCAGAAGATGGTGGTTTTAAAACAGCGGTTCTCAACCTATGGGTCGCGACCCCGTTTGGGGTCGATCGACCATTTCACGGGGGTCGCCAAGCAAGGCTGTCCACCATTTTTTCCCCTTTTCCGGCGGGTGCCTTACTTCCCTTGAGCTGGGCCAGCTGGTGGTCGGCCTGCTCCGTCTCTGCCGCTTGCCAGCTACGCCTCGGCCGGCGCAGGGGGCGGAACTACGCATGCACGGCGCTCCTGGGCAGGGAAAGTCCTCGACTTACAACCGGTTGGGTAGTCCTCGACTTACGGCCGGTTTAGTCCTCGACTTACGACCGGTTTAGTTCTCGACTTACGACCGGTTGGGGGTCGCGGCATTAAAAAGGTTGAGAACCACTGTTTTAAAAGATGGTTTTGTGATATTTTTATTTTAAAATAAACAATCAGTTGAAAATTAAATATGGCAGAGCAACTGGAAAGTGCTTTAAGAAACATGTTTATATCATTTCCATCCTTTTGCATAGGAGTCTCCTGATCTTGAGTTTTCTATGAAGTTTCTGGAGAAGGAGACTACCACTTTCTGTCATATCCTCTTTCTAATGTCTTTTTCTTTCTTTTAATTAACTTTAGAATGTCTAATACTTTTTAAATAAAAAGTAGAATTTACTAAAAAAATAAAAACCAACAGAAGTGCTACTAAGCTGAGCTTAGAACAGAAGCAATACTACGTGTATGTTAAAAAGTTTCACATTTTGGTTAAAGCCATTTCCAGCATATACTTGCATTTAGACGCTGTAATGTCACTTGTAAACAATTTGGGGCTAATAGTGTTTTTAACTTCTTCACAGAAGCTTTCCTGACATTCAGCCTGACCACACGTAATTCCTTTACTGGATGCATCCGTAATTTTATGATTGATGAAAGGCCAGTGATTTTCAGTAAGGCAGCTTTGGTCAGTGGTGCTGTGAGTATCAACATATGTCCTGCTGTGTGAAAGGCTGATACTACAAAACTACAAGGATATATACAGCACTGAAGAAACGGCAAAAGCGGTGCGGAGTTCAACTTTCAATATCAGAAGAATTAAAATATATCACTCATTTTAAATACATGATACAGCATAAAGCTTGCAATCATTAGGAGAGCTTTGTACACTTTTTTTGCGGGGGGGGGAATGCAGATTCCTAACCTGTATTGGAAAAGAAACATCTCTGCAGTATTCTAACTGGGGAATGAAAGTGACCAACCCAGTGAGCAGAAATATAATAATTCCACTACAGTACAGTAATGATCGCAGGCATGCCTGACTCTGCATTTGTCAACATTTCAGGATCAAATGACTTAGTAGCTGTGGGTTTCAGCTTCAATCCACTAGATATCATTTTATCCCGTTAGAAGTTTGATAATCTTCTGTTGGAATGTCCAGGTGCTGTGTCTTGGGATAAGTTAATTCTGTTCACGGTGTGCTTTGCTTCATGTATCTTACAGAATAAACTATATAACAGACATGTTTCACTAAAACAGTATCTCCAGAGTTTCCTTTTCCTATATTTTTTGTTCAATTATGGTAAAGTGATATGGGTTTTGTTCAATTTCTAAAAACCACTGAAATCCTACACATTTTAAAATTGTTATAATCTGCTTCTACACATAACAAATAAATTGATCCATTAGCAAAAATAAATACTTTATGCAGCTTTTATTTGTTTATATATCTATTTATATTACATAATATTAACTTTAGTGGTAATTATAAGAAAATCAGATTTTCACCCTATGAAAAAGTTATTGTAAGAAGTGAAGTTATATACCAGTAATCATTAAAGTAATTTTAGGGGGGAAGGTGATATTTAACTATAGTAACTTTGATTTTAACATTTTTCTCAAATAATATTCAATCTTGACAATAGATATATGAATTGCATGTTTTAAAACTGATTAAAATGTTCAAAATTCCAAATTGCAGACCTATAATCCAAATTTATAGCATTCATTTGTTGTGATATTAGAAACAATATCAATAAAACATTTTTTAAAAAATAAATATTAAACAATATGAAAGAAACAAAATGTTGTTTTATAAAAAAATTCTGGTGCAGACTTGTTCATAATACTTAATATTAAACAAAAACCCTGATTATTATAGGAATTAGTCCTCCTAAACATGAATTCAGATTGTTAATAAATATTTGTTCAATCTCTTCCAGTTACAAACTTCTTTCCACACATAACAGACTTATCCTCTATTAATAATCTAATAAAGGTGATTGAGGCAGAATATAGGATGTGTGTATACACAGAGATAGATACTAGGGACAAGTGAGCTTCCACCAAAATATACCTTTGGATGGGATTACGTTTCCTAAAATTATCTGCATGTAGAACTAATTCAGAACAGATACTTTTATACTTAAGAGCACTAGTACTTTTATACTGTCACTATTTTTACTCCCCAGTATTTCCAAGCAAAAGGCTAACAGCTTCTGTTCTGCTAGCTTGCAGAGACCATAAGTCATTCAGTGATTTGCCTCCAGAAGACTAATACAATAATCAGCCCTTATTTGTTAAATTACTGCAGATCAATGTATAATAAAAATAATAACAATCCCAAACTACAGAAAACAAATCTCACGCACTATCCAATATTTTATATTTTACTGTAGTTCATATGTAAATTTGTTTTATAAAAAAAAACCCTCTTGGAATAGTTTATATCATGATGTTGAAAGAAAAATCTTCATTAGGATCCAGTCCAAGCTGGGAATAAACAAAATGGAGACTGCTTTAGAAAGAAGGTTGGAGTTTATTGAAAAGCAGAACCACAAGACATGAGGCTCTGGAGCAGCTGAACACATGTTGCTGGGACTTTTTTTGCATTACAGGAGCTGGGGTGGGCGCGGCCTCCTCATGAAGCAACCGATGGGCCGGCAGTTTGACACCTCTGTCCTAAGTGATACTTAAGCTCCGGGGAAAGAAGCAATATTAGGGAAAAGTTTTCCGCAATGGGAAAATGAACCAACAACATGGTCTGCAGCATAGAGGTAAAATATCATATTTGTTCCACTTTCAGATAAACTGGTATCAAAATAGGGGGAAATTACTTTGCTCTTGAATACCAACAACATTAAGTGAAAATTGGGATCCAGAGCCAAGTCTGAGCTGATGCAAACATCTGGTACAAGCTGATTATGAATCACTTGCCTCCCCCCCCCCAGATGCCCATGAGCAAAAATACTGCAAAAACACTAGGCAAAAATCCTAACCCTTATAAAAATAATAAACTATTACTAAATAAAACATCAATTCTTAGATTCTATAGAATTTACACAGCCACAGCAAGTTAATAAATATGTTTCTTCATGGAAAATTCTTCGCAAGAATATAAAAGGTCAAACCTATCTCTTTTGATGAAGCAGCATATGCCATCAAGTTTTCCTTCTGCTTCATATGCATTTTACCATTAGCATGGGAAAAACAATCAGTGATAAACTTCTATTTATCAGCCTCAAAATAAGTAGAGGAAAAATTACAAGCAATAAATATCTTCTAGCATTTGAAGGTCAACATATCTACTAAATGGACAACAAGCCAGAACACTTCCACTTTTTTGAATAAATAAACCAGTTTCCATTTCCTATCTATACAGTAAACTATTTTCATTATAAAAAAGTATTTTTAGTTGGTTGTGAGAAATTTGGATACTTGATTGCTAAACTGCTTGTAGTACTATAGATATTCTGATTGTATATTATACAACTCACCTGCATGTATAATGCCCTAATGTTATCAGATTATATTACTACCCATGTGCACCTTTTATTTTCTTACTTTACTCCAATGATGTCAGCGAAAAGCAGTTTTATAAAAAAAAATCTGAATTTGCTATCCATATTCCTATTTCTCTAAGAACCACAGAATATTTTTTTCTGAGGCAGAAGCATTCACTTATAATAACAAAAGCTACTACACAACTTCAGTCACATATCAGACTAGATTTGTATTTCTGATAAACATATCACAGTAGGAAAATGGCAATACTGTCATAGTTAGTGAGTTTTGAAGGAGAGTAATAAAATAAAAATATTAAGTAGTACTGATATTTTTTCAGGGCCACCCAGTTTTTACTTCATTTTACTTCATTTACTACCTTGGTTTACCTTTTTATTCTCAGAACAACCTAGATCAGGGGTCCCCAACCCCCGGGGCACGGGCCACTACTGGGCATAAGCCATTCGAAACTGGGTTGTAGAAGTGGCAGACATGCACGCAAGCATGAGCATCGCCACTTGCCAAATCAGTGGGTAAGTATATGCATGTGTGCGTTCAATTTACGCATGCCTGCTGCGCACACAAAAGGAGCTGCATGCATGTGCGCACATATTTGATAATCCTTTCAGAAAGACTGGAGCCAGGAAGCTTGGAGTGATGGGATTTGAAAGACAAAGATCCCTAGGGAAGCAGGACATGACCTTTAGGACATAATAGGATTAACCCACCACCATCAGAATACCAAAAGGACATGCTCAAAAGCTCAGGTCAAAGTTTATGCCATAGGAACAGGAACAACTCCAAACACAAAAGCCCAAGAAGGTATAAAAACCCACTACTCTCAGCACCAGCTGCTCCAGAGCCACATGCTGCTGTGGTTCTGCTCTTCAATAAACTAGAACCTTCTTTCTAAAACATTCTCCATTTTGTTTATTCCCGGCTTGGACTGGACCCCTGATGAAGATTTTTCTTTCAACAAGACCATCCTAACATATTCCTGATTTCAGACCTTAAGCTGCACATTCAATGGCCATGCACATTCAATTTAAGCAGCTGGAGCAGCTTAAATCAGTGTGAGCACCCTATTTCAAGATTATGATATAGACTCATCCTTTTCTTATATTCAACTCAGATTAATTTACTGTCTTGGCAAATGGTAGTGTAAAGTCCCTTACTTGAATTTGAGATACCATATCAATCTAATCAGATAACCCAAGTGGAGACTTCTTGATCAAGCAGCACTTTATTTGATCAAATTAAGCAGCTGGGTGGCCAACGATCTGGAACTCTGGCAGAGTTAGGTCCAGAAGTGCCACGCATTAGAAAATTGGTAGCATTGCTTTATAAACTTTGTTAGCCAATGAAAATCAGACAACAGAGCCATTACAACATAAGAAAGACATCAATCATTCCTGTACACTCCCTTATTCCCTCCTTCAGTATATCCCATCCATGTACATGTTTCCCAAGTTTGCATGAAATTTCTCTGGTGCAAAAGCTGATTACAAAAAGCAAGAAAGCAACAGTTAGACTAAACAATTTCCCTTTGTTCCAGAACCCTTCAGTAGCATGTTACTAACCAGATCTTGGCTCAGAAATTAAGTCAGTCAGGCCAAATTCTGATTTACAGAGAACACCGTAATGGAACACAAGTTTCATATGCTAAACGTTTATTTATTAATCAAATAGCAAACCCCCCAAACCACACAAAAGGAAGAAACCAGTAGTAAGCCATATTGTTTTAAGAATAGTTTATTTTTTTAAGATGTTCTATGGGTGTGTGTTTTTTGAAAGTGGAGACTTCAGCTGTATTTTGTGTTCTCTCCTAATCATGAAATTATTGAAATCTGGGAAACAATTACAATGTATTCTATTTATTAGTACTAATTAATAGGGGATTTCTTAATGTTAGAAAAGCAATCTAATTTCTCAGTCAAAACAATGAATTGAAAAGCCATAAATTCCATACTCAGTGATAATTATATCAGCATTATATCATCAGCATTATATCATATTTCACGGGGTTATGAACATATATACAGACATACCTTGTTTCACTTTATTGCACTTTTCAGGTATTGCATTTTTTTTACAAAACCCTCTACCTGCAAAAAGCTTATGACTGGTTGAAGTTTCAAATGATTAACATTTTTTAACAATATACTTTTAATTAAGGTAAGCACATTTTTAGACATGCTATTGCACACTTAATAGACTAAATCCAGTGTAAACCTTTTATATGCACTGGAAAACAACAAAAGTGATTGTTTTATTGTAATATTCACTACTTATTGCACTGGTAATAAAACAAACCACTAATGTCTCTTGAGGTATGCCTGTATGTATTAAAATTTAAACAGTAAAACGAAGACTTATATAAACTAGCAAGCATCAATATCATGTTTTAAAATAAGAGAAAATAAAAACTAAGATATTCTAGCTCTATGGTCTATTTCCTCTCAGAATACTATACAGGTAGTCCTCGACTTACAACAATTTGTTTAGCGACTATCCAAAGTTACAACAGCACTGAAAAATGTGACTTATGATCATTTTTCAGTTACAACCTTTGCAGCATCCCCATAATCGTGTGATCACAATTCAGATGCTTGGCAACTGTTTCATACATATGACCATTGCTGTGACCCAAGTCAATGGCTCAATTTTGGGCTCAAATATGGTCTTAAGTCGAGGACTATCTGTACTCTCCTTTTATGTTTCAGCTTAAAGTGTTTTCTAAATGGGGTT